TCATCCATATAAAATCCATACTTTTTTAAAAAAGGAAAACAATATTTTTACAGACTTTTACATTTAAACTCAAATGCCCTCAAGGGACAGAGAAAACAGACATAACCGCTAAGAACAAAAGGGCACAACCTTTAACTGGAGTGCAAAAGAAAGATAACAAGCAATTGACAATGTTTAAAATAAAAAGGACTCAGGACACCCAGCAAAAATGATAGGCATTCAGCTGGAAATAGGAGCCAAATACAAAGCAGAGCTAGAATCCTATCAACTTCAGTAGTGACAGGGTCACAAGGAGATTAGATAGGTAGAGTTTCATTTGGAGAGGCCGCTATCAAGGCAGCCTCTTAAACACAGTCATGTTCATCAGAAGTGAATCATAAATCAGGTGCTTAACACTATGAATGTTAGAAACTACGGAACATTAATCCAAATTGTACATATATGCTATGAAGAATGCATGACAAGTGCAGTTAAACTGATTCTTTTTACCACATTTTATATTCTTTTGTATGAATGATAAAAGCACTTCAAGCTTTGGGTGAAAATTCACCCTTTGTGAATACTTTGATGAAGTTCTATTGTTGATTTCCTTTGTACTACTTTCAAAGAGAATATTAAAATATTTTGGACAATTGTGGTACTCATCTTATTAGAAAACAAACACAAAAGAGCCAGTTCTTATCATTCTACACTTTACCACTGAATTTTGGATTGCATGAAAAGATTTAAAAGCATACTGTATATAATTATTAATTAATTTAATTAAATGCTGCAGCCTGTTCAATATCATTATTAGCTTTACTCATACTAGTCAGATTGGCTTCATTCAAAACAGGTATACTGGGAACTTTATAGGGGAAACCGTGTCTAAGTTACAATCGTTCTGTATTAAGTAATTAATTCATTAGCCTAATTCCATACCATGATTTCACTTTGGCCTGCTCTTATGAACATAAAACCCCAATGATAGATTTTTCAACTGGCTATATAGTTCATATGGTTTAGACAATAATTAAGAAAGATAGGGGACATTGCCACAGCAAAGTTTGTAAATGAAATCGTTTTTCTTCCAGTTTTAATAGACCTTATCCTTCTCTTGTACTTTTATATATTTATTGAAATATCTGAAGTTTTAACGAAAGACACATTTGTTCTAGGATTTCAGGACAAAGAATATTGCAGCAGTATCTTATCTTTTGTGTCATTCAGCCTAGCATAGTGACTTTCTTACATTTTAATTACTTATCATTTCTATCTGGCTCACAGTAGAAAAGAAAATCTACTCAAGCAATAAAACTATCTGGGAAACCATCCAGGAGTAAGGCTGTAGATAATTTAAAAACTAAACATAATATTCGCTAGAAGATAATTTGGTATTCCTCTGAGAGCATATAAAGCAAACTTTGGATAAATTCTACCTTTATTATGCATTCCATCAACATCTTCAGATAACTGAAAACTAAAAACATTTTCTTGGTTATTTCCTTTAGATGAGATTACTAGAATACTGTTTTGATGAACCATTCTTTAGTGACATAAAAATTATGGAAAATAATCACAATAAACAAGGCTATTTTCCCAAGGCACTATCAAAGCAATTCAGTAGTTTCCTGACCCTTTAAGAGTTATCCTTGGATTACTGATAGAGATGTAACATCAAGTTCCACACCCCTCTATATTTGACAGTTGTCTCAGTGTTTTCTACAAGAACATGCATCACTCAGTGTTTGGGACCCATGCACAAAAAGTAACTTCAAACACAGAGAATAGTCATTGCTTCTGATTGCATTAAGATATGTGCAGGGCATAGGACAACATTTGGTTGATTGGTTAGTTGGTTGCTTTTTAAAATTATTTGATTTATATCCTGCCTTTATTTTGCACAACTCAATACATAATGCCATACATAATGCTCCCATCTCCTATATTCCACACAGCAACAACTCTTGAGATATTTTGGGCAAGGGAGAATAATTATTTCAAAGTCACCTAGCTGATTTCAGTGCTCAAGAGAGAACTAGATCTTATAGACTCCTGGTTTCTAGTGCAACATGATAATCACTACACCAGGCTGGTGTAACATGATATTGATATTGATGATGTTATCATCATGACATTATCTCTGCTTTGTACATGATAATTGAAATGACTGTAGCTAAGTACAATTTTTAATGTAATATGTATTGAACTACTACAGCTTCTCAGTATTGTTGGATGGTATTGTTTTTCAATATAGGCAAATAATGTTGATTTTTGAGGACTGTGAAGGGGTCTTGGGAGACCCACAGAGGTCCTATGACCACACTTCAAGTAACACTGGTCCAAAGCAAGTGCTGAGTACAGAGGCTATATTTGGAGGAAAGGCCCAAAGCCTTTAGAGGCTCTCTAGAGAAGCCTAAAACTCACTTATTGGGACTATAGATTAGTGGTGTTTTCTTAAGATTCTGTGTGTGTGATTCAAGGTAAATAGATCCTATTTAAGAACAAGACACTAAATTTGACTTCTTATGGAACAGCAGTAACAATATTTGAGTCTCACAGTCCAAGGTCATGACAAAGGTGATAAGAACCCCAGGCTCATCCAACTCAACATCTCAACATCTAAGGAACTGTTTGGAACGGCTGCAAAACTTACTTAGCAAATGTAGGGGGAACTACATTCTACTGCTTAGATTTAGAAGAAAAAGCGCTAAGATATGTTGTATGCAGAATGAAAAGCGTAACTTGAGCAAATAATAAAGATTGTTTCTGAACTTATGTAAGAAGAGAAAAAACCTGTTGCCCAGTCATGTCACAGAGCTGCAGTAATGAGGATAGCTACCCTTGCCAAAATCTTTCTGTTGGTAAATAGGGAAGAACTCTTCAACCTAATACACAGTAGAGAATGTGAATAATAGAATCTCCATACATCATTATATTTTTGTACTAATCACTGCGTCATTGTTTTCTTAGTAGATAATCAAATATTTGCTGAGATTTGGTGTGTAATCAGTCTACGACATTTTATTGGTTAGTTTCAATCTGAATGTCCTCTTTAAGATTCCTCTGTACTCGCAGTACTGCAGCAATAAACAGGTGAAAAAAATACTCTCCCATTGTGATTTATTAGACAGTGCTTTGGGGATGCGACCCTTTGCAGTTTCATTCCCTATAACTTCCCTACTGATTATGGACTCATGGGACCTTTATACAGGATAAACAAGTAATTAGACAAGCAATAATCAAGCTTTAATCATGGTTTTCAAGCAACGTGATAGTAAAAATGCTTTGTGTGAGGGAAAAAAAGATAAATATATTGCACTACAGGTAGCCTTCAACTTATGACTGGTCATTTTATGACCATTCAGAGTTGCAACAACCTCAAAACAGGTGGGTTACAGCCCATAAAGCATTTCAACCCTGAGGTGCAAATGTTCTCCTTTATTGGTAGTGGTACCTGTACAGTAAGCAGATCAAAGAAAAGAAAGGTGGGAAGAACAGATCTTCCAGGAAACACAGCATGCAAAGATGCACCAATGAAAAAGAAAAAGTTACCAATCACCCAGAAATTCATGAAAACAAAGTAACAAAAAACTTTGTTATTAGTGTCTATTCTTCTATTGCACTATTTACTTTTTTCAATCTACCATATGATTTTTAAACACATTAGAAATAATTGGCTGCACAATTGCAGTGTTTATCTCCATTTTTTAAATGAGTTATAAGCATGAAAATAGTGAGTACAGTTTTAAAATAGCATTTATCATTTGATTCAGTTTTCCATTTGAACAGTTCCAGTGGTATTAAAGGGAATGCTTGTATGATCAAAATATGTTAGAATGTGCAATATTTGTGATTTTTTAAAAAAATAAATAAAAGTTGGGTTTGTTTTTTTGTATAATGCACCGTCTGTTTGAGAAGACTTATTTTATTCAACTTTAGTTATTGGGTTTTTACTAATTCATTTCCCAGTGGGAAGTTAGTTGTTTCTGGAAAAGTACAAAAAAAATTAAACCCAGAGCAATAATGAATTATCCTTATCTCTTAAATTCATTTTCTCTATAGTTTTCTGAAATAGAGAAGATAGGAATTAGTCCTCAAAGCAGCATTATTTAAGAGACAGCCCAAGACTGAAATAGTCTCCTAAAACAAATGTTGAGCTATCCCCTAAGCAGTATTCAAGATGATTCTTACATAGTCCATATAAACGTACATTGTTTATATGCTAAATCTGTGTAAAAATATTTCCCCAAAGCCCATGAAACAAAAATACATTAATGTAGCTATGAATTTATTTCAAAAGCCTGGAGTTGTAATTTGGATGAAGCTAAACAACCCACAGATGCAGTGATTTTAACCCTATTAACAGTGAGGAAAGTCAATAATTTAATTGAATATTGTTGGAAACAAATGTCAGTGGAAGAAAATTTGCTTTCAATAAATGTGATTCAAAAGTAAGATGGAACATTTTTAAAAAAATAATGTCCAGTTCTGCTTAAGTAGAGAGCACGTTGGTTAAAGAGTTCAAGAGAGCGTAGAGGTGCTTTAATTATCCGGGTGTAATTGCTTTCTATTTTCATTTCTACTTGTGCTGTGAAAGTTTTCAATCCAAGAGACATGTACAAATAATTATGCAAATGCACTGAAATGTTTGTATATATGAAACTGCTGTCAGATTACTTATCTATTCAAAATGAAAGGGCAGAATTCAAAGTTTAAACAACAGATGCTAAGCTCATATTGAGGTAGAAAACAGAAATAACTGTTTTGGACTCAGGAGGAAGATATAAAAATATGCAGTTTTTACCTTCTGAAAGCATCTTTTTTTTACCCCAATGGTTTAATAAATATTGTATGAGCCAACGTGAAGCAATGTATTAATGAAGTGATATTTATCCAGGAAGCAGGTGCACCAATTGGGGTTACTGCTCTCTAGTTTGCTATCGACCTACGATGAAGTTTAACCTTTTGAACATTTTTTTCTCTGCTTTGTTTTCAATCTTAGTTCCCCTGGGACTAAAATGGCAAAAGAAAGTCAACACCAGGCACTAGCAGCACTACCAGGTACTACTGTTGCAACTGCAATAGCAAATAATGCCACAGAACCAGCGATACCCGGAGGAGGAAAAGGCGGCGCACAAGAAAATTCATTTTCAAAGTTAAAGGAGAAATTTATGAATGAACTAACCAAAATTCCATGTAAGTAAACTTGCTATTGCTGTTATGATTCTGTAACAATAATCTTTAAAACTATATGTTTATTAATATTTACTAATTACAAGCCCCTGAAAATAAGGGATAATTTCAGAATCGAATGCAAACAAAATCCACAATGAAGAATAAAGGAAATTTAACATTAAATTTAAATCTAGCATGCTAGCCTAGCCCATGCCTAAGTTTAACTATATGGCACTTTCTTTTGAACTAAATGTAAATACATCCATTCTGGCATGGTATTATGTGCAGTACTTGCTATTATTCAATAAACCTTGCTTAAATAAATCCTAATTGTTTATGTACCAATGTAAGAAAATAATTGAATAGTATATGTTAGATTTAGTGCTTATTTTCCCCCCAACAATCTCATCTTCAGTCTTTATAAAAAGTAGGTATGTATAGCATAGAAAGTGTGATAGAAATATTAGATTAAATTAAATTGTGTGTTTTAAAGTTAGCCCATGACATAAGGTTTAGGTGACATGCTGGTCATTCAACTCCTGTTGTAACCAATGGACTCTGCATTTGGAAAAATGTTAGGAAAGAAAAAAGTTTCATCCAGGACTATTATTTTATCAAGTATTGACAAATGTGGGGTGTAGTGATTCTGATTTTGGACCAGGTTCTATGAGATTCCAAATCAAGATCACTCTTAACAAATGGGAATTTCACTGGATATCATTGGTTCAGTCACTCTTTCTCAACCTTCACAGAGTTGTTATGGGAAAAACTGGAAGAGGGAATATTATATATTCATCTAGAGCTTCTGGAGAAAAGTCACAATACAAAATCAAACAAAATACATACAGCTGTAGAAATTCAGTAGATTTGAAACCATTGGCCAAAATATATTTTAATAAACTTCAAACTTGGTTGATACATGAATGGAAAATTGCCAAAACATCCCAGCACTCTAAGCTAAATTGGGATTTGAAAAACATTGCTAAAGAAGCCAGTGTCAAAGCATTTCAACACTGTTGCAAGAAAATTACATGGAAGTGTCCCTGTAGTTACCAGAAGTTCAGCTTGACTATTTTTCCCTTATTCTATTTTTACCCCATCCTTTCACTCAAATGAGTACTGAGAGCAGCTAATAAATTAAAGAACAAAAATATCCCAGATGTTAAAATGTAAATTAATACGGTAAAACTGATTAACAATTAAACTTGGTGGCAAATGTAGCAACTGAAACAATGCATTCTGTAGCCTGTAAGTAATACAAAGAAAAACAAACGAGGACCCAGATTGTTGGGGCCAATATGCTGACTTTGTAAACCGCTCAGAGAGTGCTGTAAAGCACTATGGAGTGGTATATAAGTCTAAATGCTCTTGCTCTTGCTATTTTTTAGTTATCAAACTAATTGTCTCATATTCGTGAACTGTAACTTCCAGAGATTTTTCAAGGGTAGTCGCAACCAGAATATATTATAGTAGTTAAAGCAAATATAAAAAAGATGTGAAAAGTGTTGCCAAATCTCAGCTCAGAAAGGATTGTGCCTGCTACATTAACTGTAAATAATATATGTTCCTTGCCACCGATGCCACCATGAAAGCTAAAGATGAAGCTCCATCACTGAACCTTTTTTTGATGGAATGAAACTGCATTTAAAACAAATTGAATACCAATTCCGAAGTCCTGTTTTTTTATTAATCATCAATACCTCCTCCTCCTCCTTCTTCTTTTTCTCCTCCTCCTCCTCCTCCTCCTCCTCCTCCTCCTCCTCCT